AGCTAAATTTCACTGGAACTCTCTGCTAAGGTTTGTAATTATTAGTGTAATTAGTGCGCAGATCCATTCAGGAATGCCAGCAGCTTATAGAGACCTACAGGTCACATGTTAAGTGCCCAGATACACCCAGGAAAGAGACAAAACTAGCACCAAGCTAAACCACTGCTAAATCTGATTTTGCTTCTTCCTCATTGAGCACAGGCTTTGCTAAACTACAACCTATCTAATCCTCTGCAGTTTAAGGAAACTCCCTGAAAATGTATTTGCTTCTCCTTAAAACAAAGGACAAGTATTTTATTATGTAGTTACCACAAGAACTTGGGTTCATGGAAATATAAAGCAGCTTTACTACAAGACAGTTTAAGGGAGCAAGTCCTTTAAGCACAAGGAAGATGCAGGACTTCAGCGTCCTGCTCACTGCTACTTCTCCCCTGGTTGCTCCTGCACAGCCTCTTCCTTATTGTCATCTACTGCACGTTTCAGTGTTCTGTATTTTTCCCAGGGGTGGGGGGTCTCCTCTCCTGCCATTACTTTTAACCACCGATAGTAGTAGCCACGGAAACCGTCAATTTTCTCCAGGTAGGGGTTCTTTGACTTATACTGCAAACAGAAATCCAACAAAACAAGTTTCTATTAGAACAGAACTCGTTTCAATACCAGCATGCTACAAGCTACTACTAAAGAAAGGGCTATCGAGTAACTGTCAGCCAGATCAGACAAACCCAAAGGAAAAGGACTAGGCAGATGTCTACATTTCCCCTCCCTTGTTGGTGTCCTTCCTGATGCCTTCACACTGTGACCAGTCATGGCTACTTACCCTGTCAAATTTCGGAGGGTACTGTGCTGCAAACTCCAGCTGGCGTATGATAACTTCATTGGGAGGCACTTGGTTATTCCTCATGTCTCGCAGGATCTCTGTGAGGTAACTGTAATCCAGCTGCCTCACAGCAGCAGCAATGAGGGTGCTGTAGATATACTTGTTGGGAGTTACTCCAGACCTCTGGAAACAACAAACACTACAGTTAAACTTGTTCATCTGCTAGCTAGAGAAGGAAAAGGCGCACAGGCGCTTCTTATGCAAGGAGCACAGCTCTCACTCTGGGACCCGTGTAGCAGCTTTGGCAGTGCCAGCACACCCCTTCCCGTGAGCCCTCTCCTGTCCCAGCGCAGGCGCATGACAGACCACCTGAGCTGGCAGCTATTCTACAGTTGCATGGTTTTGGAGTGAGAACACAACCACTCGCCACAGAAACCTCAGCAGGTCTTTTTGGAAGTGTTAATGCTTCGCTTTGCCTCTTCCTGCAGCTCGAACCCCAAGCAGCAGAGGTTTTTTGATTACCTTCATATCTGAGAGTAACTGCAGTCCATCCTTCTCTCGCTGGCAAGCGATCGCCAGGTTACAAAAGGTCGGGAGGTTAGGCGATAGTCCCCTCTTCACTAGGGCTGGCAGCACACTCTGCAAGATACAAGGGTTGACATCAGTTTCCAAAAAGTCTCACTGTAGCTTTCCAGACAGAGAGCTGAATGTGCTAGAACAGAGTCTGTGAATACTTGGAAATTAAGCCAAGCGCTAGTTTGTGGAAAACAGTGCGAGATCCCTGGTTTCTATTGTGCAGAGAGAAACGGGTCTCTTGGCAAAAGACAGGTAATGTCAGAGGCCTGAGGCAAGGAGATGGTGACAGGGCTGAGGTTTTTTCCTCACCTTTGCTCCTTCCAAGTCTCCCTGTTTACTCTTCTTCCTTATTAAAGCGTTAAAGAAGGTCACATCTGCTTTCACTTTACACTCATCTAAGCGTGCCAGCAAAGAGGACTCTGAGGCACTTTGGGGCTCCACCAGCTCAGCCAGTAACGTAAATGTTTTAATGTTGGGCTCTGCATTGTCCTCTTTCATTTTATTCAAGAAGCCCTCCACGTCCCCCATCAAAGCCAGTCGATCGGACGGTGTGACCACTGTCCCCAAGGAAACCACGGCTGCGTCAGGCATCCTGGAATCCAGCAAGTTGGGCAGATTGCAGAAACGCAGCTTCGGGCTTAGGCGTGCTTGTTCCTGCTCCATCTCGTTCTGGCCTCTCCTTGTCAACGCTCCCATCCTGCTGTGAGCTACATTGGGGCTGTCAAGAGCAGCTGGTTCTGTTTCAGTCTGATTCACATCTTTATTTTGTTGCTGGATCAGTTCTTCAGCCTCCACTGAACTCTCCTGAAATAATTGCTTTTCCATGGCTTCCACATCTAGCTGGACAGCAGCTGCATTCTCAGTTCCCTTCTTCCTCCGATTTTTCACCTTTTCCTTCTGCCTCCCGGGTGCAAGCCTTAGCTGAGACGAGTTCTCACCGGTGGACCTGAGCAGGAGTTCAGAAGCCACGACTGGATCACCTATCCCACAGTCTCTCGCAGCACGCAGCATCAAATTGTACGTGTGGCTGTCGCCCTTTATTCCAAGTTTAGTCATTTGTTTCCAAACCTGAAGAGGGGAAGATAAACACCAGATGTACATGATATTAAGTAACAGGAGCACTTCTAGCAGATTGTAAGCATATCTGTTAGCAGTATCTGCTTGCAGAAAAGGAGAGTTTACAGCATGATGAGGTGAGATGCCACTGGACAGTGAACAGCCACCTCGAGCTAGTACAGGCCTGCGAGATCACCCGGGGCAGTTTACCAGTATACGAGACATCCTGATGGAAGTCTAGTTTACAGAACTTCTCCTAGGAAGAGCTGAACTCCTATTTCATCAGCTCTGAGCAACCCGCTGCCTCCTGTGCGTTCAAGTGACAAGTTACAATACAGAAGCACTTTTTCCTCCCCACTTAGAACATGAAGACAAACCTGTAAGGCATATCGGAAGCCATTTTCACTGTCTTTTACGCAGCCCATGAGAAGGAAGCTGAAGGTCTCGGCTGTGAGAACATGGCCCTTGTGCACTATTTCCTAAAAGAGCAGAGAGAGCATTAAACTTCCCAGTTACCAGACAAAGAGTCTGTCGCAGTTGGCTGTGAAGCTCAAATACTGCTGTTGTCTTCTGGGGATACAGCAGCAACAAAGCATTGGGTGAACTCCCAGTGCTGTGAGCAGAACGATTGCTCCAGCAGAAAGAGAGCCCTGAAATGCCTGCACAGATCCTAGCTTCTCCCTGATGGGAGCTACAGGGAATTTGGGGCAGGAACCACAGTCCTTTTAGCTATTCTTCTGAAAAGAGCCACTGTAAGAGCTCTAAAAGGAGCTCTTATATGGGTCTTCAAAAAGAGGAACAGACAGACACAGTAGCTGCAAACCCCACAAAAAATTTGTTCGTTAAGTCTTTGACACACCTGACCAGAGTTTAAAAGCCAACCTCTGCAGCTGCCTCCTTTTATGTACTTAAGCTTAATATTTGGTATGTATCATTGTATGAGACCAAGGATCAATGAAATGTAAACATGAGACCTGTAACCACCTCTGCTGGAAATGAAATAAAAAAGGTCTACGCAATGCGGCAACTTCCAGGAGCTTTAACCAGAGCAGACTACACTTAATACAAGAAAAGTCATGTATTTACCTTCAGTACATCAAAGCACATCCTGAGATCTGAGCACAGGGCACAGACCTTCAGCAGCGCATGGTAGGTGATCAGGTTCAGCTCTTCGTTTTTGCTCTTTAGCTGCTGCCGTAATTTGAGAGCGCTCTGCAGGCCAGAGTCTTTCCACGGTGATTCAGCACAGGCATTGAACAGGGCTGTGTAAGTGGCCTCGGTGGGAGTTAAGCCTCGTTTTTTCATCTAAGGGAAGAGAAGAAAAATTTGAACTGGCTTGTTAGGAAAGGACTTGTAGAATTTCTTCACTTTTTTTTTAGAGTGTCAAGCTAAGAAGGTGCAAGCAGTAACTCAAAGGCATTTTGGACACAAAGCAACGTGACCAAATGCTTGAATCGGTTTCAGCTTAGAACACGTAACGAAGGTCTGAGAGAGGGGAGAATGTAAACCTACATCATTGTAGAGCCTGAATGCCTTTTTCACGTAGCCAACCCTGCCACAGCCGCCAATTAGAACAGTGTAATTGCTTTCTTCCGGCCACACACGATCTTCCTTCAGCATCTGCACCTCAAACAGCTCCAGAGCCTCCGCCAGCTACAGGGAAGAGGAAAATCCAGGATGAGAATCAATTACAATGGATATTAACATAAGCAGCTGTGGGTCAGTTGCGGTAGAAGGCCCACAGAGCACGGGATTCCTCACTAGCTCTTATTTTACTTCTTTCTGTGAAGATACTAAGCGATAGGATGATACAGATGGGACAGAGTTGCATCTTTCATCAATGCTATTAAAAACTAATTTAGCGAAGAGCTGGGAACGCACCTTGTCGTCTTTGATGAGGGCTTTGCATTTTAAGAAGTACCAGTACGGGGTGTTCCTGGGACCGTGTCGAGGTTTTCTTTCCGGTTCTTCCTCTCCCTCTCCTTGAAGCTTTAAATTCTGGAAGCGTGATGTGGTTTTGTGATAATATTTTCGAGAAGAAAATTTATTAGACAGCGTCCCGAACTCCACGCCTTCATCCTCCTCCTCCTCCTCCCCAACGGCTTCAGCGCTGCTGCCGGCTTCGCCCTCTCTCAAGTCGCTACCGGGCAGCTTGCAGGACGCCTGTGAGGAGCGGAACGGCCTCCAGCCGTTCAGCGGCCCCTCACCCGGGGACCGGAGCAGGCACGGCGCTTTCCCGGGCTGCTCGGGGCCTGCCCACCGCCCCGTCCGGAGACCGGAGGAGACCCAACAGCACCGCGAGGCGAAAAGGAGCCGCGCAGACCTCATGGTGTGCCCGTAACCAGCGGGAGGAGGCGGCGGAGCGGGGACGGGACCGCTCCGGTCCCCGCTCCCCTCAACCAGCGCCGCCTGCGCGGAACGGAAGGGGCGGGAACGAAGCCGAGTTTGCCCCCAGCTGGTTGGTGGAGAGAGCCGGGGAAGGGGCGGGGCGCGCGCGCGCTGCCCGCCGGGCCGTAAGGTCAGAGGTGAACTCCCGGCATTCCGCGGGAGGGCGGCGCGGGGCGGCGAGGTGCTGCCGCCGCCGCCTCCTCCCCTCACCTCAGGCGCTGCCGGCGAGGAGCGGAGCGGGCCGGGCCGGGCCAGCCCGGGCCCGGCCGCCCGCTGCCACCACCGCTACCACCGCCACCATCACCACCGCCACCATACCTCCCCTTCCTTCCCGCTGCCGCCGCCCCCCAGCCGCCACCATGCAGGAGCTCATCGCCAGCGTGGACCACATCAAGTTCGACCTGGAACTGGCCGTGGAGCAGCAGCTGGGGGCGCAGCCGTTGCCCTTTCCCGGCATGGACAGTGCGTGCGGGCACAGGGCGCTGCGCGGCTCCTTCTTCCCCGGGGTGCTCGGGGCAGGCTCTTGGTGCCTGTCGGGGGGGGTGAGGGAGGGAGGGAGGTTTGAGGGGATCTGAGCGCCTTGCTCAGGTCTCTTGCGTAGATCCGCCCAACTTCTGCGCTCCCTGCGAGGTTTCCGTCTTAATCCGGGTGTTTGTCTTTCCTACTTAATGAAGGCTGTAGTTAGTAGCCAGCCAGGCTGGAAGATGAAAGTTGAGGCATTATCGTGAATAAACATTGCTGTCCTGCATGACACTTTATTATTTTTTTTCATTCCCTTTTGATAGATGAGGCATTGCGATGGCAGGGAGACTTTGTCTTTAGGTATATCCCTGGCCCGGTCTCTAAACCTTTTCCTCCAGTCTAATAATCTGGCATGGGTAGTCTTAGGGGACTCACCATTTGCTGAAATTTTCTGGCCAGGCTACTAAACTTGTGTTTTAACTCCCTCAAACGTTGTGGTTTCTGTTGGTCAGGATCAGCAAGGGATAACACGCTAATGGTTGTTTCAGGCTGTTCTGGTCAAAAAATCTAAGACTGTCGTTGCCAGGGCTGTAAATACAGGGTTCACTGACATGATTGACCTAACAGCGCAGGAAAACCCTGTCGACAAAACCTAAGTATCTGAAAAGCAAAACAAGCACCTGTGCAAATTCCCCTTGGTGTCCCCCAAGAAGAATACAGGTATTTGTGAGGGCCAGACTTCAACAAGGAATTTACGCGGGAAAGTAAATTCCCCAAACCAAAATGCTGTTTTTCTTTTGATGTTGAAGACCAGAGTGTCTTGGTGGGGAAGGAAGTATTTTAAAAGTTGTCATGAAACTTTGTTAAAATGAATTATGTTTCTTTGTTCTCTCTGCAGAATCAGGCGCAGCTGTCTGTGAATTTTTTTTAAAAGCAGCCTGTGGAAAAGGCAAGTAATATTTCCGATACAATTGGGGGAGGAGGGGGGGAACTAGATTTTCTAGCACTGTCTACAGTACTCTTCTTTTTTGTGAAGATGAGGGGATATCCTAGATTGAGGGTAAAACTGAAGGATGTTGGAATAACTGCAGCAGTTGTGAAATAATGGTGGTGTTTTCAAGAAGCTGGGAGGTGAATAAAAAAAGCTACCGGTAAAGGAAGGCTTGAACTTACCACGCACAGACGTTGCTGTGGATGTGCCTGTATTAGCTGCTGTGGTTCGTGGTTGCCAGAATTAAGAGCTGGAGACTACGTTGCTTAGCTCGTTAGAGAGTAACGTAAGACTTGTCTGGAACTCCCAGTTTTGCTATTGCCACTAAAGGCTGACTTCATAAGAAAAAGTGATGTCTTCTGAAAGCCCTCTTGCAGAGGGGAACAAAGTGTTGCCGTTGCCCTGTGCCTTCTTGTGCCGCTGGTTTTAATTGTTCTTTTTTGCCTTCTCCTTGCCCCATCCTTCTGCAGGAGGCATGTGCCCATTCCGACACATCAGCGGGGAAAAGACAGTTGTTTGCAAACACTGGCTACGAGGACTGTGCAAAAAGGGAGACCAGTGCGAGTTTCTGCACGAGTATGACATGACCAAGATGCCTGAGTGTTACTTCTACTCCAAATTTGGTAAGGGGCATTGTAGCTCCTACTTAGTGTTCCTTGCTGGCGTGGGAGTCTAGTGAAGAGGATCCTGATACATCCCTCTCGTCCGTCTTCAGAGCATTACAGTTCTTCTGTGTCCAGTGATGCCATTAGTTTGTAATTTTTCAGATCTGCTTAGTCCTTCACCTTATTATCCCCCAAAATTTGTGACTTATCATAGATGTCTTCTCTCTCAAGAGCTTGTCCCTTGGGGGAAGAGGGGGGAAGTTCCAAGTTTTTACTGGGTTTTATGCCTTATGTTCTGTTTTGGGCATGAGATGAGTAGGCTGAGCAGTTGGTCTTTGCATGACTCTTATTTTGGGGAGTTGATGAGCAGCAGAGGGCATGGGGGTGCAAAACTTTTATGCACTTGCTTTCCAGCTCTGGAGATCTGGACATAATGAGGCAACTTGCTGTCAGAAACTTACAGTCTTGTAGGTTTCCTTGGATTGAGGTTAGTGTGCAATTTGTAGTTTCTCCACGCTTCTGGTGCACTAAATGTTTGGTTTTTGTTATCATGACTGCTCTTTCAAATTTAGTTTCCGCATTGTTTTTAAAAGCACACATAAATAATCCAGTCTGGTAGAACTTTACTCACCGGGGGCGAGTCCTTGGTGTTCTTCATCTAGGTTAAGGCAGGCAGTAAGACTGTTGTGCCTGAACTTATAAATGTTGGTAACAGCTTTGTGGGAGCTACATGATCCAGGTAATGTTTTGAGAGTCATTTGATCTCGAACCTGCACAATTGACTAAGAAGTGTGTTTGCCTTTGGTACAGGGGAATGCAGTAACAAAGAATGTCCATTCTTGCACATTGACCCGGAGTCTAAGATCAAAGACTGTCCCTGGTATGACAGAGGCTTCTGTAAACATGGTATGTATGTCACACAGTTGCTGCTTCTGTGGCTATAATCAAGGGTAGGGTGTTGCTATTCTTTCTTTGCGTGATCTGCTTGTGTACCTGCTACTGCTGAGTGCTGGGGTATGTATATGTGGAACGTGAACTACTGAGCTTTGTGTTGCAGGTCCCCTCTGCAGACACCGACACACTCGAAGAGTAATTTGTGTGAATTACCTAGTAGGATTCTGTCCAGAGGGGCCTACCTGTAAATTCATGCAGTGAGTATGCTTCCAGGCTTGTCCTGTAATCTCGTGTTTCCCTTGTAATCCGGTGTATGTCAAATGAGGCTGCTCCAGTGCTTCCCAATGGCTTTGGAGATTTGGCCAATGTTTAGTTTGTTGTACCAATTTGAGGATATGGGGCAGCGCCTCTTCAGGGAGTTACCAGTAAGACTCTAGAGTGCTGATCGGATGCCACCAGTGCAGTGGGATCACATGGGTTTACATTCCAGAATACCTTACAGGTAGAGGGATGTGCTACATACTGGATTGTCATTTTTGTATACGTAATTGCTGAGCATCAGAATGCAAAGAGGAGTGGGGAGGGGGAGGTCCATTTCCTGTGAGCCAAATTTAATTGGCTGAATGTTTGTTTTGTTGTTTGGAGTTACTTGACTGAGCTGATGGTAAAATGTTGGCATATGATTTGAGAATCAATTTTCTTGTTTCCATCTAAACCAGCCCTCGGTTTGAACTGCCAATGGGAACCACAGAGCAACCACCACTGCCTCAACCGACACAAACACAGCAAAAGGTACACAATTCCCCTGCCTCCCCTACACGCCCACTCTCAAAGCATTTCCCACAGCACTTTAAAAGAGGGTATATTGTCTAGTGGTCAAAACTGGACAGCTGGATCTGCTTTGCTGGAAAGTCTTGGAGAAAGACTCACTGAATGAGGGAAAACCTTTCCTATTTCACAACAGGGTGTGATAGTCTTTTGTAATTAAGAACTTGGAGACAAATCCTAATAAACCACAAAGCACCGTCCCTTCTCTTTTCTCTTCCCAGCCCTCTAATGTCCACTGTCTGATCACAACGGACCGCTGCTGCCTTTGTCCTGGGACTGTGGTGTTTTGCTTTGTTCTGTTGCTCCCCTCGTCCTGGTTAACCTTCTCAGTCATTAGTACTGTCCTCCAGCTCAGAGGCCAGCAGTGGTAGTTCTGTTGCTTGGGGCACTGCCTGGAAGGGAGGGTGCTGTGCAAGAATTAAGCAGTGAGAAACCCCGAGTGCCATTATAGTGATGAAAGCCCTACAATTGCTCGAACTTTACGTGGAGATGTAGTCACAGAATGCTCCCACGTTACATAGAAGCACATCATATGTGCTTGTGCAGCAATCTGCTAGTTTTTGTAATCTGCGTGACATCTCTCAGGGATAGCAGTGGTATTTTAGCAGCCTAAACCTACTCTCTAAATCTGCTTTCCAGAGAAAAGCAGGATCTCTGGGCTTTGTAAACCTCACTGCTTGATTCTTCTCTCTGGTGCTCCAGCTGGCAGAGCACCCACACACAGATTTGGAGGAAAATTGATCATTTGATATATGGGGTGCTCTTTTCCCTTCTTAACAAAATAACAACCATAAAGGTCTTTATCCTCGATGCACTTAAGTCAGAACTCTTCTCCTAACCAACAGAGGACACCCCAAGTCATTGGAGTCATGCAGTCTCAAAATAACAACACTGGGAACAGAGGACCCCGGCCGTTGGAGCAGGTCACCTGCTACAAGGTAATTCAGAGGGGAGGGAGACGAGGAGGGAAAGCAGAGGGTGCTAGGTTTAAGAAGTACAGAGTGCATGTCACCTGGACTACGTCATGCTGCTTTCATGCTGGTTGCTTGTCACAGGCAAAGGAACAAGGGGTGTTGGTCCTGCAAAAGGTTTTTTTGCTGTGTAAACAGGTTCATGAAATGTGCGCTCTGCTCAATAGACATTGTGTTTTGGTGCGTGGATACAGCTGTGGGAATTGGCATTGAGTTCTGAGGCCTCTAGGTTGCTGGTTTGCCAGCTCACGGACTTGCTGTGACAATTAAGGCTGTTGTAGGACAGACTTTGCTCGTCTGCTAATAAATAGGAAACCCTACCACAACAACAGTTAAAGGAGACTGCTGAACTGTATATTTCAAAGTAAGAGTTAATACTAGTTTTGTCTCATGAGTTAATTTGCTTACACTTGGTGACTGTAGAAAGATTTTAATCTCCCCTGTTAGCCTAGAAGGTCCTTGCGAGTAACAGAAATTGAATATGCAAAGACTGTTCAGCATTTCAGCTGTAAATGCACCCCGTCGCTGTCAAACCAAGAAATGAGCTATTCACCTCGGTTGCTCATTAAGGAGCACCAATAAAACTTTGACACATTGAGCTTCCATCTCTCTCTATTTTTCCACAAAAGCCCCAACCCTAGTCACTAGAAAAGGGCAAAGAATCTTCCTGTCCCATCAGCTTTGACAGTTATGTCATTGTACATGCCAACTTCTGTGCCTTAGTGCTTGTTTGGGTAAAAATTACTGTGACTAGACAGGGATATTAAGTAGCTGAATCCATTTCACTGAAAACCTTTAATAGCTGCTTATTATTTTAGCTACAAGTAAATTACGTATCTGAAGCATGCTGTTGCACCAGATCCTGGCATTTCTCTCTGGGCTTGAATAACTTCAAGGTGCAAAGTCATGAATCTCTTGTTCAGATGCATTTTTCTTTGTCTAATTCAGGATAACCGATCAGGAGAGTCCCCATAGATCTCTGATGTAGTTCTTATCAGAGGGAGTAGTCTTGGAAGCCTCCAGTGTTGAAATTCTTGTGTGTTACAGCCCTTTGTTGTTCGTAGCAGTGCGCTGAGAGCTCTCTCCTTTGTAGTGCATTATAACAACATGGCATCAGGTTGCTCTCAGCACAGAAGCAGCTTTTGCTCCAAGGAGTGGAAATAGCCCATAAATGGTGTCCCTTATGACACCATGTTTCATTTCACCCGCTAAATACTGCATATTCCATACGTGGAAAAGCTTCCAAATCAGGACAGTTGCCAGCTACCTTAATAAAGGCAGCTAGAGGAAAAAAGCTGTAAATGTGTAATAATTCCTCTCTCTCTCTTTCTCTTTCTCTCTCTCTTTTAGTGTGGTGAAAAAGGTCATTATGCCAACAGATGCACCAAAGGACATCTGGCCTTTCTCAGTGGACAGTGAAAGAGCAAAACGAAGAGTGCAAGGGAGCTATTAACACTGAGAAAAGGTTTCTGCCTAGCACTATGTCTTGAACTATTAATCAGGTTGTTTTTTAATGCCATTACTGAAAGAACTGGTCAGAGGCTGGCTGCTGCTAAGCAACGTTTTTGTAATTGTCCACAACTTTTTTTTAGGTTTTAACCTTTTTAAAATTTTGGCCTCCGCCTGTTTTCATTGAGCCCTTGTGAAAGGTAGATCTAAAAGCCAATAGATGCACAAACCCCTCACCGGTGCAGCAGTCTACGTAAACGCATCTTACGCCAGTGTTTCTTTAAAGTGTTTTCCTTCTGCCACTTCTCTTTGGAGAACCTGCAGCGTTTCAGCCCTCCCTGTGGAAGCAGGAAGACTGACTGGGAAAGCTAATGCTTGAAATGCCTTCCCTTCAGTGAGGAAGCAGGGATTCTGCTGTCCTGTAGTTCTTAAAAACGGAAGTTGTGTTCCCAGGTCCAGCCTGTTGTAGTCGATAAGCTTGTCCTGGTGGCTGACTTAACACATCATGTACATCAGGCTGTAAAACTCTCGTCCACTTGCTTTGTTTCTGTGCTTCTTGCTATACTGAAGGTTAGAAATTAATTTTCTGGGTGAGAACCGATCAAGGGGAGAATAAATTGGCATCTCTGTGGTTAGCCAAACAATAGGAACAACGATTGTAGGAAAGCCGCATCTGTGCTCATTTTCCATTTGCAAAAAGCAAGGAGGGAAATGAACACGGCTTGAAGAGTAGGAATAGAAGAGCCTTGTCTCAGCCCCCCCATCGTCCAGCTCACACTGAGCAGGTATTTCCATAGCCTAGAGAAGACCAAGAAGTGGAGATGTGTATTCTTAGAGAATACTGCTTTTAAAAGTGGTAGAGCATTCTTCTGAGAGCAATTTTTCCAAGCCAAAACCCATTCATTTTGTGAGAAGACTATTTCAAAAGGGCCAATGATAAAATGTGAATTAAAAAAAAAAAGTGAACTTACAATGTGAGCCTTATTGATTCTAACCCATCTTTCATGTGCTGACTGCCTTTATACTTTGTTTTTATTGAAATGTACTGATGGAAAAAGCTGGCTGTGAATTTATTTTTTTTAAGAACAAGGTCATATGACTAGATTAAGAGAAGTGACCAGAGCCTATGTTGGTTTGTTATTTCACTGTGGGGAGTCGGAGTCAGTCAAAATAGAAGTTTCATGTCTAAGTGACTATGGTATGACAGACCATCAGACACTTCTCACAGTGGCCAAAATTTGAGATGCATTATCTGTGTTTAACTAGGCACATGTAAAAGGAACCAAGACACTTCGGTGCCTGGCTACCTTCCTGATCCAGTTCAGGAGTTTCTGGTCTTCACTATCTGAACCGATGTTTTCTGAAACTGAAAGCTTTCCTGTTACCACTGAAGCTCTTGAGAATCTTCATATGCCTCAAGAAGTGGTTTTCACTCTCCCTTCTATTCAGAAAAGGATCCTGCAGGCTGTACCTGCAACGCCCAGCTGCAGTTGCGAGTGTCAGCAGGTAGTGTTGGGACAGTGGGATGCACTTGCTTAGGGGGGTGCTCGAGGAAGGTTCTCAGCAGGGGCCAAACCCACAGATGTTCCTTTAAGCTCCATTTATCTACATCATGTCTCCTGTTAAACTTCTCACCGCTGCATTTAAGTCAAGAAGCAAAGTCTTCCTTCATTTTAACTTCATGGACCATTAAAGTTCTTTTAAGCTCATACCCATTCAGAATAACCTTCGAGCTTCTTTTAGCAATGAAAGTAGGTAGCGTTTTGATAGAAATTTTGGGTTATTGGAGGTAAGAAGCATTAGAATCCCAGTGACAGAATGGGAGTTGCAGACCTCCTTAAAGCTAAACCAATCTCGTCTCAAGACAGTGCTCCAAAATGATGGAAAACTGCCCAAACACCTACAGCCCCCAGGTGACAGCCTGACTGAGAAACACATGGCCACACCACCAAGACACCTAAAGCTCAGATATTCTTTCAAATCAAAATATTACCTCCTTTCAGCTAGTTGTCCAACCTGTACATAATGGCCATTAAGAAGCAAACCAATGCTTTTTTACTTTTATTAAACAGTTAAATAGGAATTGATTGTAATAGTTTTCCCCAGTTCATAAGGTAACCCAAGTAGCAGATGTTTTCCCAACCATCTCTGAACTTAGCCTTCAGGGCTGAAAGTCTTAAGATGACAAACTCATTTGCACAGTACAATTAACAAGCCAGCTATAAGTGTCAACTCAGTAAACATAGCGTGTATGCACTTTATTGTTGGTCATAATAGTACAGTTTTTAATATGAATAGTTCTGATGTCTTCTGTCAGGGTAGCTGTTCCAGTAGCCAAGTCTGTTCAAGAGCTGTACCTTCACTTTCTGAAATTCACACTTCAGTGGTACTTCCTGTGGCGGTCATGCTCTGTATCATTCAAAGTAAAGCAAGTTAATTTTACTGAAGTCACAAGAAAAAAAAAACCACCACACCTGAAATTACAGGGAAAAAAAGCACTCCACAAAAATAAGAGCATGTAGTTTCTAAGTACTGTCAGGTCAGACAGGCAACAAGATCTAAGTTTTCTTTGTCACCAAGAAAATATTGGCCATCTGATAACTTACTGACTAAGCATTCAGGTTCCCTATGGCTAAAAGAAGTTTGCTTGCCCACAGTCTCGGATTCAAGCAGCAATGGTTAGCACAGTCTTTCATTTTATTTCTAAAAGCAGCAGCAGATTGTTTTTATTGCCCCAAGCACTCTTTCAAGCTGCACTATACGCACTCAGCCATATTGCTTTTACTTACTCAGGTGACTGTAGCTCCAGATGTAGCTGATAACAACATAACCTGCAAGCACCATTGAGATACCACCAAGCCCCCCTTTCTTGACGTTGATGTATTTATTGTAGTATCTGTCGTAACCTGTGTAGGAGAAAAGTTTTCATAGCAGCCAGATGAGCTGCATATTTTTCTGTCTCAGAAAGAAGCGGACTGATTTCACAGAACTTCAGGAAATTGTTTCTAATGAAACATCTGAGGGTCTCAGAAGCAAGTCTGAGAGAAAACAAGCCATCTGTTAGTTAAGCAAGGTGAACTCAAGTTAGTAGCACTAAACCCTAAAAAAGGAAAAAAAAGCCCATTAGCATTTTTCCCTAAACATTATTGTGACCTTCATGAGATCAAGCTGCTTTGGAATTATCTAATTCTTTCACACTAGCACATATACATTATGTAGACACTGGCCTTTGATATTGTGTGTTTAAATCTGCCTGAATGCCATATCTGTAACTATAGCAAAGGACATCACTCAAAACTTTTGCCAAGTGATCTGTAAAAGCCCTGTGTCCTTTCTTACCATCTTTAGGGATCACTTGCTTTCTTTGTAAATTTATTTGTGATGTTGGGAAACCTCAAGATTTTCAGCAAGTAGGTTGAGGACTAAGGTCACCATATTTCCTCTTTATACCAGAAGGAATACTGAAAACAAATCTCTGGTGGATAAAGCCCACACCAGAAACAAATTTACAGATGGGAGCACAAGACACAACACGAGGCACTGTTTTGGAAAAGCAAAAATCGCCCCGAAGCAGCCCCTCTACTGCCGGATCCCTCTGCCACGGCCAAGATCCGCTCCAGCAGCCAGAGAAGCTTACACACTGATCTGCCTAGCTCCGTCAGGAGAAGGGATTCACACCCTCCAGGTCTTCGCCGGCCGAGGGGGTGCGGAGCTGTTTCGGCAGGGCGGGCGGGCCCCCTCCCCTCAGCCCCCCTCACCTCTTCGGAAGGCCCCCAGGATGCCACCGGGGGTGAAGTCTCTCATGGCCAGCCAGGTGGGCAGCTGGCCCAGCTTCACGTCCATCAGCTTCATGTCCTTGAGAGGAGCTGCGGCAGAGAGAGAGACACAGCCCGGTCAGAGGGGAAGGGAAGGAAAGAGCCGCGGTCACCTTGGCGGCCCGCCTCACTCACCCGGCGGCTGCGCCATCTTGCCGCTGCTGCTCTGTGCCGCCGCGGGGGAAGGCGGGAAGGGGCGGGCCGCTGAGGCTCACGGGAAGAAGGTCAGGCGGGATTCCCGGATGTTGGGGCGGGTGGCGAAGGGCTGGCGCCATGTTGGGCGGGTTGGCGCTGAGGAGGTGTTGGCCTCGGTGTCGCCTTGTCCCCTTCCCCGTCTCCTCACCGGGGGGGGGGAGGGTCGGTTCCCCAATGGGGGCTGCACACTTTGCCTTAGTTGCCACAGGCGCTGCGTCGAGGCCTGGTTTGTCTGAGGGCCTGTCACAGGGCTGGGGGCACCCTGAGGGGTTTTCCCTCCCTGTCCTGCTCCAGCAGGCCTCCTCAGCGGCCGGGACCCTTGTCAGGAGACGCTGGCCCAGCCGATGCTCCATGACTTGTGCAGGCTGTCCTCCGATGCCCCAGGGCAGGCCAGCACCTTGCTTCTTCATCCCTGCCGTACCTTGCGGTCTGTCGGGTGCCAGCGCTTGCCAGGGCTGCAGAGGTGAAGGCTCCTGCAGATTGTGAAAACAGCAGAGAGAAAAACTCACAGGTCTTCATCAGCACCGTCATGAGACTTCATCAGCAGTCTTCTGGGGGCTGCTGATGTCCCACGAATCAACCTTTTCCAGCGTGCTCTGAAGAAGCGGCAACTCTTAACACTGTAAATGTGCCTTCACAGATAACATATACTGCAACATACATTTAAATTTGTTATTGTATATTGTAACGTAAGAAGTGAGGGCTTCTCAGACCTCTTCCAGGGGTCACCTGCCCTCTCCTGCAGTCTTCTTAGGTGGCTTCAAGGCGAGAGGAGGAATGTTAGCCTGTATTTTTCACAGGGATTAGGTGACAGGTGAATAATGTATCGTGTGGTCCCATTTCAGTGCCTACTCAGGACTTTTCCCTGTGGTAACATGCTGCGTTTTACTACAGCTCCTCTGGAAGGATGTCAAAGGCAAAAGGAAAGGCAAGGTCTGGGTATATGGTGGAAGTAAACCTGCATAACCAGAGTGGTGAAAGAGGTAACGCATGGATAAAGACAACTTTTGCCATCCTGCAATAGGAAAGAGCCACCCAGACCTATTTCTTGTTCCCAAGCGTCTTTCTGGGGGATTTAGCACACACAGGCGCCCAGAAGGTCCCCCCTGGGCAGACCAAACACCTGCAGAGCTGGCTGTTGTGGGAGCAGGATGGGTTATGGGGACGAGAACTCCAGCAGGTGTCACTCGCACTTAGCAGAATGCAGCTGCTGGAAAGATGCTCTCATTAGCCTGACCTCTAGAGGTTTTAAAGCGTTATCATTCAGGTTCATAAAATAGTGTCAGGTTTTGTTGTTGTTTATTGTGGTGAATGCGAAAAGCAAAGTGATACAGCAGTAAACAGGGAGCAGCCATCCACCGCTGTTTCTGACAGGTCAGCCAGGACCCCACATTTCCTAGATATTAAATCTCCGTCCCACAGAGGACTGTTAGAATGGATCAGAGACGATGAAGACTAAAGTAAGGACGCTGAAGGGGGCCCACAGGGCTCCTACATAGACACTGAGCTACTAATCTCCACAGCTTTTACTTGTCTTAGGTCGCAGAGTCTTATTCCACATGCCTTCCTCCTGCCACTGCAGGATTCTTGGATTATAATCTGTAGGGTTTGTTTTACCTGGTATTAAATGAGTTGAGGCATGGGACCTCTGTTGTCTGAAGAGGTATGGTACTCTGTAATGCATCTTACTCAGAGGCTGGTCTACATGTCTAGCTTCAGCCTCTATTTTACTGAAATTAATTTTTTTATATTGAATAGTGCTCTCCCATAACATAAAAATAAAAGCAGAAGGAATAGATTACTGCCTATTTTTTCTTTCACTTATTAACAGAAAGTAGGATTAGGGAAGTATAGTGTACCTGATCACTTGAAGAAAGGGGTCCAAATTTAGTCTCTGTTAAATGGGTTAAAAATTCCCTTATTAAATTATCCTTTATTATATTGTTGGACTTTACCGGTAACCGTCATTTTATTGCTGAAGTGTCCCCTGATGAACTACTATGTGGCCTTTTTACAGTACTTGCATAAAAGCATGCTTCAAACTTGCTTCCCTCATTCTTGCAAGGCAACTTATTGTTTTAAATAGGATTACTCATGCAAGGCAGATTAATTCACCTACAGGAAAAAAGCCAATGGTGGGTGCTTCATTTTAAGGAGTTCCCTGCAGAACAGAAGAGCACATCGAGTTGCTCAAACTGCTTATAGCAAGGTCTGGGGAAATTTGGTTTGTTAGGGTAGGAATGGAAGTTCATAACAAGGATACACCTCCAATGCAATTAGGGACAGCGGTGACCTAAACCTTGGCCTGAACTGCCCGCTCTGGTAGAGTAAGAGAGGAATAGTGCTGTTGTCTTTATGCCATCTTAATCCTGAATCAAGCAGGAAGAGTTAAATGGTACAGATGTGTGGGAGGTTTTGCAGCACATTTCCTCCCTTTGACCCGTGCTGCTGGCCAAAATTCAGGGTCTCATTTGTTGATCCAGAGGGGAGGAGGAGTGATGAAGAAAGGTATTTCTAATGTATTTCTGTTTGCTTACAAGAATGCTCAGAGCCCTTGTTTCCTGAACACAGAAGAAATCACGCAGCTGAGAGCCAGTTTCCTTGCTTATAGCTCCAGACCTGCTCCAGGCAGCAATGTGACCCCAAATCCCTCTGTTTCTTGTATTCAGTCCAGGTTTTATATCAATGATTGTTCAGGCTCTTTGAAGTTTCCGTTCCCTGCCTGTTTCAATATGCTGTCTTTCTGTCTCCTCCTCCACCTGAACTGTATTGTCCATCCACACATAACCTTCTTTCCTTTTAATATCCTACCCAAAACTGTCCTCCCAGAGCCTTCAGGTACTTGAGCAATCTTGCATTGTGGGTGGAAACAGACTTAATGTCTCCTTCAGCTACCCTAAATAAAGGAATGCAGTTAAACCTACCAGTTTCAAGAAGGTTTAACCCAACCTATAAAAATAAAAGCCTAATGGAGTGTTGCCCTGAGGTTTTCGTCTTACTGAAGACCCCTCTAGAAAATGCTGTGAAGTTTATAAGTAATGGCATAGAAATAATAGGGAGTACATCATTCAAAAAACCCAGAGTATTTTGCAAAAGACGTCAATAGATACGAAAGAGGTTTCCTTTTTCCGGTAGCAACCGTAACACATAATGTTGCAGCTTTCAGTCCAAAGATTCAGTCGTAGCCTGAGAAGTTAAGTAACACTCTTCATTAAAGTTGCTGAAAAGAAGTAAAAAGCATAACACAACCTCTGTCAGACTGTAAGATCTTAGAGGCTGGGATCATTTTTTCTGTTCTGTGTGCCATTCTTTGAAAACTTGGGGTCTCACCTGGGCCTGGTGGTCAGTGATGCTACAGTCATATGTAGACACAGTGTCCATAGGTGTGTAAAGTAGCACAAAGTGGCCTTCAAGAAGGTCAAGAGATGAGGATTTACCTAACTGATCCTGCGCCCACTGAAACTGATGACAAAGCACCCAGTGCTTTTAATAAAGGATCAAACCTACACAAGTGGACAGATATGGTTCTGAAACCTGAGGTTTGGCACAGGATGCTTCTTGGCTCCTAAACACTTATTTCAATCTGATGTCTTCCCACCAGCACAGGTTAACCGGCTGCAGCCGTCAAGGAGAAAGACAAATCATGGGCTACTAGCACTTCCAGAAGCTCAATGGAGAGATGCATGTTTTATCAACCAGTAATTTGGAGAAGGGTTATGGTCCCAGGTATCTTGATCCAGTCTGTTGGTTTTTAATTGTATGAACAGTTTGATGTGGTGAGAGCAGGGCAGCTGCTCGGCATAGGTCTCAAACTCATTCATCTAAAATTGTACTTGCAGTGGAAACCAGAGTCCGGAGTTGAATAGGGTGAGAAAGGGGTGTGGAGTTTGGAATCTCTTCCATGGCCAGACTTCCTCAGGAAAACAGTGAGCTGCCTTGCATAGATAACAACACCTAGGGATTGACCCAGCAAAAGCAGTTGAGAGAGTTAACCTATGATTGCAAGCAGACTGCTTGCTCTGCATTATTATGGAGCCATTTTCCTTAGTCAACCTCAAAACACTTTACAAAGGAGATTGCTTACCAATGATTAATAGTTCAGCATGTACATAGTTCTTTTCTCCTTCACAGCACTTGAGTATCAGTGCATCTTCATGCTCCTCTGATACAATGTGTAAGTTAATGTTATGATTATCTTTTCAAGTACAGAAATTTGAGCCCTGTGTTTAGGACTGGGGAGGGGGAATTCCTCCCGCCTCCTTTGGCCCCACCTTGCTGGTCTTTGCTTGTATCTAGTGTCAGTTGCAAAAGTACCTCATTTTGTAGGTCTTTGATCAGCCTGCTGGTTAGCTAAATATATACCTGTGGGGAGATAATTACATGCTATCAGTAGTAAAGTGGTGTAAAATAATTTACGTTAATTAAAACACTTGCAAAACCAAAGCAAGAATTTTCACTAAGATAAGTCTGCTGCAGCAACTGCCTGCTTCCCATAGACAAACATGAAAATAAAACCAGGGACCAGTAAAAACCAGTTTCTTCATGCTAAAAAGAGGAAAGACATGCACCCACGGGGAAAACCATGGTGGTATCAATCCAGAAGGGCAGGACTGAACACATCTTCGATCTGTGCGAGCAGATCTGCCTTCATGAACATGGAGAAGACTGGTGTGATGAATCCCATCTTATCAATGTGTCTGTTTGGCTAAGTGTGAGTGGCCCAGCAGGAGGGTTGTACAAATGGGCCTCGTATTATTGGGGGAGGATTTGGAGACTAATTAAATTTTGTGACAGAGGCTTAAAAAAAAATCACCTTGTTACCATCTTTGAATCCACTGTCAGTTCCTCCAGCACAATCCTTGTACTCTTCCTCCCTTCCCACATTTATGTCTGATGAAAATACTCAGCACTTTCATAGCCTTGCGTGGAAATTGTCTATCTGACCTTCCCAGCTGAATCTGAAGCTGTGTTTGATTAGTTGGTGAGTG